AGTTTTGCTCTTAAGGCCTAAAAATGTGCAGGTTTGTTTCATAGTTGTGAAAAATGAATCTGTCGAAATATTATGTTATCTACATCCTAATTAATTTGACACAAATCACTTACACTCTTCATGGAATTGAGCTCCAAACTGTCTCATCAGAGCGTGTTATCAGGCCTGTAACCATGAAAAGCTTGGATACCAGCTCAAACTATATGGGTGCGCAGCCGACGCAAACACAACTCATCACTTTATTCTTGGAAAACTTGGCGAATCAACCCGAGGTTGTTTGCATCATCTCTCCTCAATATAGACGTAAATCTCTTGGACCAAATACAGGAACAGCCAATAAGGTAGTTTATGAGGTCAAAGAATAAGTCCAACGAAGATAGACTTTAACACATATGTTCCTTCTCGTTTGGCCACACGAAAATAAGAAATGATCTAGTAATGACATATAAAATGTTAACTATGTCAAGTTGCCTCAACGTGAGCATCCTGCCGGGTTATATACACTCCAACTTTTTCTCGTAAAGCGCTGCTCACAGCTTAAGTGCTCGGATAGCCGGTGTGATAACAACCCTCTCGTGAAAAGATTTAAAGTGAAACTTCATAAACGTATATTCACCCATAGATTAAAATCTTCCTCCAGGACTACCTTTGTCCATGCATGTCTTATAAATTACGTCGTTTATCGGCGAATAAATCCCCAAAATCAATCGTTCTGTAGGTCTTTGACATCTGGTGCTCACCGCATTAGTTTTACTGGACTCATATAGCTGGAGGCGTTCGTTACGCATCCGCACCAGATAGCGAGCGGGTACGCCGCGCTACACATCTCCTACAACTGCTTACCGGCTTAGACTAATAACTTCTCAATACATCGATATTCTATTAAATATACCTTCGAACTCACTCACTTCTGACTCGCGATTTGACTTAGTTTGTACATTTCGATCATAAGGGGTGTTAGTGGTTGAGGTGTTGTCAAACTCCGAATACTTGAGACATCATTACAGCATTCCAGTAACTACTTCTTATGTCTCCCATTATCATTTATATTTTCCATCTAATTCCTTCAACGCCATCTTCTCACACATTATCAATTAACTGTCTTACTTATTATTCTTGGAATGATCGTTTTCTCTCAGAACTCGAATTATCACTTCATTTCACATTGCAACCAACCAATCTCCTACCTGGCAATGTGATAGCTGCTAGTATCCAGAGTTTATATTGCCTTGAGATGAACTCACTAACTCAAATTACAGGACGTACAAATCCACAAATAGCTATCAAACTGACTATAACTTGCGGATTTGAGTGGTGAGACTGCCACCCATTAGACATTACGAATTAAACAAAACCTTACCGAAACAACAAGAGGATAGCGTTAAAAAGTAGTCGGTTTATACAAGCTCGCGACGAAGACATTGGATTCATTGCTGAATTTTGCACTGGAAAGGAAATCATGCAGAAAGTCTGGGCACTTTAAGTGTTAACGCAACCTTGTGAGTTGATTTATCATCCTACCGCATATTACGGTACTTTAACGAAAAGTCCCAATGCATTATAGGCTTGATAAAATAGTTACTGGTTAAAAATGGCACATTATAGGAATTTGATGGAATAAACGGATTGATAGTTGCGATGTAAAGTAATTACTTCTTGAAGGCCGTCCATAAATTACAGTCGCCGAATTGTTTATGCTAGTAAACGTGGAAATTTCAGAGTCAAAGTGTACGACTAAGAATTTAAAACTAAATTTCAGTGCTTGAAGTTTCGTATGCTGTCTTTCTAATTCAAATCTCAAGAGTAACCTGATAAATCTTTCAGGTAATACTTAAAACTTGTTAGTCTCATGTACATTTTAAATATATTTCTTTCCATCTTTTCATTGGTAGAGTAACTACTCCTTAATTAAACTCTCGAGTTCATTGAAGCTTCAGTTTGCTTAGTAGTCACTTACGTTGCTCTTCTATTTGGCGTCAAATTCCAAAAGAAGTTAAGATCAGACGCAAGATGCTCTGATACGTAACAGTAGAGAATCTAAATCATTTTTCATTGAGAGGGAAGTCCATGTTTGAGTAGTTTGGTCTTTGTTCCGTACCTTCTGAAAACATATCAATCCTAGGAGTGAAAACTGATCAGATGTCTAGTTTTGGGCTACCGAAATGCTTTTATCTCTGGGATTTTTCTGCCCTGATAATATCAAGTAAGCAAACGCTTTCTTTACGGTTTCTGTCGGAGCCTCATAGGATATTGCTACTTCATTTGCTTAATCCTCATTCCCAGTTCATTTCATCTACTCACTCAACTAGCGGTATAACTCGAGTCCTGGTTATAGTCTATACCTGGTATGTTGAATGAATGCAAAGAACAAAGAAAATAAACTGTCAATCACAATAACTTGTTCAGTAGAACGCCTAGAAGTTCAAGAAAATAGTCTTATTTGCAAAGATTTTGGTTTTCTTGTTGAATACGTCAAGGGCTAATTGACATCTTTTAGCTTACATCAGTCAGTCAGCTACAACGTAGGACCAGGCATATATATGCATCGGTCCAAGTTGCCATACCTCATTAACGTAGCAAGATGGACACCGGATTCATATAAGTAGTTAATTCAGAGGTGGTAACATATAAAAGAAAGATTGCATATAAGGATATAGTACAGGAAGAAAGAATTAGTTGATAGAAAGGAAGATCTGAAGCGATTTTAATCTCTTAGTTTAAGGGAAGACAAAGAGTGTATACACCTATGCCATTGTGATCGATTCTGAGCCATGTCACAAAGAGTCTCCAACCACTGGTTACGATAGTCACACGGACCCCAACCAAGTAGTCTGCATCTACCAACATGGCTCAGACTAGAAGTTAGTGACTTTGTGAACTGATGCCACGTTTTGGTTTGGCCGCCCCTAACTTTCTTCCAACCATCCCGAGCACCGGTTAGCACTGCACGTCGTGGTAATCGGTGTTCGGGCATACGTAACACGTGGCCCAACCATCTCAGTCGATGAAGATTCACAACCTCATCAACTGATTTACCATCATTCTCTAATACCCTGTGTCAAACCACACTATTACTTACCCGGTGATCCCAGCACACGCCAGCAATATTTCTAAGGCATATGTGGTCAAATACTAGTAGCTTACTAGTGTCTTCTACTCTTAATGGCCATGTTTCGCTGCCGTAAATTAAAACAGACGGACTGCCGCGCAGTATACTCGTCCTTTTATTGATAGACGGATATCTGACCTTCGCCATAGGTGACGTAATTTGGCAAAAGCCAAGCGAGCTTTTCGAGTCCGTGCTGAGATTTCGTCAGACACCAACCCATTAGGGCTGATCAGACTTCCAAGATAAGTGAATTTGTCGACGTGTTCGACCACTTCACTCCCTATCCTTAGTTCAGGTGTTAACTCAGACCGATCCTGAAGCAACAACTTGCATTTAGAGGGAGAGAAGTGCATTCCAAACATTCTGGCATTGTTGCTTAGTGCTACCAAAAGACTCTGCATTTTATCAGCGTCTTCACCAAACAGGACTATATCATCTGCGTATTCTAAGTCGATGCGTGGGCCTCCTGGAAGGAGATCAATACCCGGCGGACTGACTTGATATGGCATTTTAATTTAGATTGATAGTATCATGATGATACAAACCGTTACAGTTATTGGCCATTTATACTCAGTGGATAACGCGTTATTGTTTAAAGTCAGTGTCGAAAGATCCTGTTTTTTTCTTGATAATACATTTCGGTCGTCACAGTCATTTATGTACGGATAAATGATATTTCATTTCCACTTAACTAAGCTATTCGTCTATAATTACCCTAATGCTAGCAGTCTAAATTATAGTGTCGCTTGGCAGAGGCTAGTCACGTCAAAATATTTTGGTTCAGTCAGATGAAAATCATATGCTTCTGTTTACTGGTAACTTTATTCTTTGCCGAAAACCGAATCCGAAACCAGGATGTCTATTTTTGTTTCCAAAGTTCCGTTTTAAATTCAACGTTGTCTGTACATTAAGTGCCGTTAGTGACGGAATTTTAGTAGATTCAAAATGCTATTTCTAGTTAACTAGTGGCCACATTTCAACTTGGTCAATAGAATTCGACCTGAACTAAGAAGGACGTGAAACATATGACACCAGTCACTAACCAATGATCAATCAATTGTAAATACATTTCAGTTCCACAGGAGGTCAGCTACTGGTCGGATAGCTCAGTAGTAACGTCTCTGACTGTGAAGCTGGGTAACAAGGGATAGAATCTTCCGGGTAGCATCGGTCCTCCCAAGATTACAGGCACACCTTACTGATGAGTGCCTAACAGCGCAAAACGTGGGTTTAGGATTTCCTGTCCATTACTTCCAATCATCACATTGCCGTTCAAAATGCCAGATTACGTTGGGACCATGGAAATAGAAACGAGAATAAAGAATATTCGGTGACAGAAGTTTCACTTAAAATATTCGTCAATTATGTTCTGGTATTTCAATGTCAATGTAAATATACCGCTTATATTCTTTAACACTTTTCACTCGTACGTTATTTCGGTCCCAATTTTCAGTTTTGAGTGTATTGGTCTTCTATTGTCCAAATGTTCATGTATTTAGACCACCTTTTGCTTTATTTTAATCAATGTAGGTTTTCTCAAACAATGTCATCGAGCACGGAAAGCCTTCCCAATCAATCTTCTCCGAAAATACCTTTGGACAGCGAAGGAAAACCTCTTAAACCCTGTTGTGCATGTCCAGAAACACGTCTCAAGCGTGATCAGTGCGTTCTAATGTATGGCGAGGAAATGTGTGCAGATGTGATCATGGAGCATAAAGAATGTTTGAGAAAACTTGGTTTTGCTGTGTAATGTAATCAGATCTCTTAAAATATAATTAGTTCATCATTTCTTCTTTCTGATCGCTGGCTCTGGTTTATTGTTACTAACTACTTTTTATTTTAGGATTCTTCTGATCAAAAGCCCACAGCTCGATTCCGTGTTACGGGTTCAATGCTTCCTAATTTAGTAGGTCGCGATGTATGTATAGTTGGGACTGCTCTTCGTGTGGCCCCTTCAGGACAAAGAATACATATACGCTGCGCAGATGGGCGGGAATCGATTGCAATCTTCTCTCGCCTCTTCAGGTATTCTTATGTCATTTTGAAACTAATGCTTCTTAAAAACTGAGTCCGTACATCTAAATCCTACTGATGGTTAGCTTTTGTAGTTTAGCTTTTACGGTGGTATTTTGACAAAGTAAGTACCCGTTGATTTCACGGACCGAATATATGCAATTAATGAGTTACTATTGTCTGACATACTAATTTACCACCTCTACATGGGATCCTATATCGCAGTGTTACTTTGTGTTTCTTCCATACATAAACACTGACCTTATTTCACAACCAGCTTGTTAGCTGATTAATAATAAATAATAACCCATGTGACATTGTTTTTGGTTTTTTAATTTATTGTTTATCTGGATCAAACTGATTGACTAATTTATTCGTTGTATGCATGATGACGAGCAATCTTGTTCACTACATCCACTCTTTCTTATCAAATCCAGTTTTTTCACCTTTTGGAAGTGAAATTATCGTAAAGAAACATTTGTTTGCCTGATTGGTCTGGTCTCAGTAGCGTATTTTAATGCATAACAACTGTTTTAGTGATCCTATTGAACAAAAAAACCTATTACACTTGTTAGAACTGGGGTAGCATACCAGAGCACAGTTCCATGTTTATTTGATTCGATGTAAACTAACATGTAATACTGTTTACAGTGTAATACCTCAGATGTAATGCATTGTTAATACTCATACAGATGTGTCCACACGTCTTATATTGTCATATATCTATGTAGATGCTCTAAATTTGTTTATATGGTATTTAAATACATGCGTATATTGAATCATGATATATGACTACTATTTCCTTCAAATAGAAAAAACTCATACCAAGTAAACAAATCTTCTGGATTGGACCAATTTTGATTACCTTGTTTCTTATTCTCATTTTCTCGTTCTGTTATCATCACTTCACAGTTATTAAATATGCTGATTACTTAACCTACTTTTCACTATCAAAAATATCAGGTAACCAATTTTTCAATCCCAAATGGTAAGTACGTTTTCTGTTGTCTTCAGTTCGAAGATTAAGTCACTATAGTAATAATCGGTCAACGTCACAGATCAAATATGCCTTATGTGGTTAGTTGCACTGTACAAGTTCCCTAATATATATATATAATTGCATCTATTGTTACTAAATGTTCATAAATCCTTTCATTATGGTCAGTATGACTTGTTTGAAGTAATTGAAAATCATATGTCATCCTTTACTTTTGAATTTTTGTTCTTGTATAGGCTTCTCCAGAAAATCGAGTTATAGAAGTCCAAGGTCGCGTAAGCAATGTGCAGGGTACAGAAATCAATGCTACAGCGGAACCCGTCGTTTTCTCCCAGGAAGCAAGTACAAAGTTTGACAGCGATTTATATTCACAAGCTATCCAAATGACAGCTCAATTCGATCAGTTTTACATTCAACCAATGGAAGCATAATTCGTATTCGTCAGTTATCGAACAATAATGCAAATTACATCAGATGTTTAATGTTATTGTATGTAAATAAAAATAAAACAGTTCTATCCAAGTTTTTGTTTTACTGACCTAATGCCTGTGATTAGCAGACCTGAAGAACTGTCTTTATTTACTCGATCATTTTAAGGAGTTTTATTTATTGTACTTTATGTTAAACAATTTTAACTGAACAATAATTCTAATCGTCTATTGGTTCAATGTGTTGAAGGCTGAATATGTGCACTATTCAGTCTTTTGTATAAAAATAACATTAAGCAGTTATTTATTTGTTCCATCTTTATTGGTCAACTTAACTTTTGCGTCTCAGAAAAATAAGTGAGTATTATAGTAATAGTTATGGACCAATATATTATAACAACAATTTTAATTATGAGAGTATGTAACTGTCCACACACTTGTAAGGTTCATTTCGTTCGAAGCGATTAATAAACAACTATTCGATCACATGGAAGTGCGGAAGACAAGAACTAACCTACCAAAAGTGATGTATTGTGTTTATTATACTTTTTAGCACATTTTTCCTATTGTGTTCGAATACTCGAAAAAATTAAGAGGCGTGAAACATTCGTGTTATTTCATACATATATGCCCTAGAAATTTTCGTGTTTGAAAACAAGAAGTTACTCAGTTATAGTAATATGTATATTTAAAAAAGCAAATCTATACTCAATGAACATTAACTGCTGAATTATCCAATAAAATTGTAACTAGTGATAATCTCTTTAATCTTCACGTTTCTTCTAATATCACATTTGATACCCATACCAAGTATGCCAGTATTTTGGCCAGAACCTTTAAGGCAGGTGGAACTGGGGTAAAGATTTCAACCCCACGTTCCACCTCATCAGTATCCAGAAGTCTAAATATACTGATGAAATCATGGACCGACCTTAGCTAGACCACCGTTGTAAACCTAGAAGCGCTAAATGGCCGTCTCGTCCTAGCATGGGACTCTTCAGGAGTGCACATCCACTACCCCGCGAGGTGAAATCAAACTCACTAATCCCCATACTAAAAGGAAAGTTATCTAATGGTTCCAGGTTTTCAGTAATAGTCTAGTTTCGATCGGTCAATGATTTCAATTCAATTAAACAATCACATACTTGGTCGGAAGCTTTTATAAAATCAACCGCTCACAAATTGTATACTGGGTACCTTAACTGTTTGGTTTCGATTTTTCATTAGCTCTTATGGGAATTTTCTAGTCCTATAAACTTGATATCAATTATATTAAACAGTTACCACATTTGGAATTGATGTCATCTCCGTAGAAATTCTTCCGTCTGATTCTCCACGTTTTTTGTTACAATGTTATGCATTACTGCATACAAGCACGCAGCCACTGTTCTGAAGTTGACAAGTATCTTTTCATATGTTTGATTTTCAAATGACAAATAACTGATGGAAGCACGTCTTTGTTCATTTAGCGGACCGAAAAAGACAAATTTCTATCAGGACGGACCTATAGAGTACCAATAATTTTTTCATCTCAATTTAATTTACGGGCAAATGGCATATCCATACTATGAGTTAACTTTATCAATTCAATTTATGAACTAGACTGGGTCACTCGTCAATTATCGATATCACTTGCAGTCTTACATCCTTCTACATGTTAACAGCTTCCTCTTATCGCTTTTGTTTTACAGACTAAATAGAAGTTAGTTATTTAGAATGCCGAGTCTGATAACTGGTAAGTACAAATATAAGGTTTGAAGGTGTCGTAATGTTACTGTTACCATAGAATAAATATTTTGTGTAAGCACGCCTCTTTTAGACAAAAGATTAATGTTTATCAATGCATAATACATTAGAGTTGCTTTGATCTTTTATGATTTTAATAAGTAGGGTTGTTTCATTATTAACTATTAGATTGAATCTGTAGTTAATTTCTTCAAGATTATTTTGACTTGAGTATTTTTCCACGTTTTGTGTCATCTTTCAAATAGAAATATATTGTTCCAAACCAAAGTCAGCTAATGGTTTTATCGAAACTTACCTAATCGGAGCTCAGTTAGAGTCCATTTTTGGTATGGTACAAGAACCGGCTTCTACTAGAGAAAATGATGCTATGAGATGACCAGTTATACATTTCTACGACCCTTGTTGTCGTTAATAGTCACATTTCAGCGTTTTTAACTAGACAACGCTAATATGTTGTACACTTGACGTTTGTTAAGTGCATATTTACCTTGTTTCATTGTTCGTATCCATTTACGAACACCAACTAATCTCACTACACCCAAGATTTGATTTATTTTCTGACACATCTGCTTAGATAAAAATGGCTGATCAAGTAGGTAAAATGATTAAGAACTTGCGTTTCCTACATTTATTCGCACATTATAAGTTTATACCGACCTGGAAACATTTATTTACACTGTGTGCAAATAATTATTAACATTTTCTCAACTTTTATTTCACTTTGTGTTATCTCTGAATGCCATTTAAATCTAACAGAAACCTGATGCAAATAAAAATGCTTCTCAATACTGAAAATAAACGGAATTTTTCACTGCTATATGTGTTTCAACATACCTAAGGTCAACGTCCTATGATTTGTTGTTTTTCACGTCAGCTGATGTAATTTGCGATTGGTTTATTGATAGTAATCTGTGTGTTGATTGTTGTCTGCAAGATTATTCGTTGCCTCTTGCTAAGCCAATAAGAACGGAGTGACCTTCAGTATGACTACATTTTAGTTCACGGTTAGTAAATAACAGACTAGTGAGTGATCCGGTGTTATCTGTTCGGTGCATCATGATGTGTTTTGGCGAGCACCATTTTTGATGTGAACACCTATGTCAACCTACATATTTATCTCTGATATTGGGTCATTTACTCAAATATGCTTATTCGGTTAGTTATTTTATATTAAAAAGTAGTCTTTTTAATCGCATAGTTATGCAATTAATAGCGTAGGTAATTTGCAGTAATTTTTAGCAATTACTTTAAGGAATTGATGATTTCATAAGTTTAACAAGGTTAAAATAACCTATGGTTCTGTTTGATTTATCATTGTATGGTTTTAGATTAGTTTCTACAAAAACGGTATAAAATGGTGTATAAAGTTATTTTCTTTTAAATTATTTCTTCCTCCCTCATAATTAGTATTTTTCTTTACGTTAACAGCAGTTAAAGCAACATCAACATTATGTATAATATGGAGGTAAGAAATGTATTTATTGTTAATAATCATTTCTTTTCTATTCTACTTTGTCACTGGTCATTATAGTGTGGACTTGTTATATCTGTTAAGTTGTTTTTGTTTTGAAATTAGTCGTTGCAATTGACATAACTATTAAGTTATTATGAGAACAATTGGAATCAGAATCATGCTTCTTAGGTTGTGTGCTTTTTCTACGTTAAAGCATTCAAGTTCTAACTAGCATATTCCTTTTTACAGAAGAATGGTATGATTTTGTAAGTAGGTTTTTTCTTAATTATCAGTAAAAACATCAGGCGACATAATTATGTGTATATATTCTTTAGTCGTTACAACTTTCAGAACATAACTGAAGTAACTCGAAAAAATGCTAACAATTTTAATTGTGAATAATGTCGTTACATCGACATCAAGCATAAAATACGATTTAAATTTCCACCGAAACTCGTTGCGTAGTATGAGATTCATGATAGTATTTTTAACATTTTTTTACTTGACAAAAATTGTAAGGGATTGAATTGATGGGTGTTTAATGTCCTTGTCATATTTTCCTGAATATAACACAAAATATGTGGATAAACTTAAAGTTGATGCGTATTTATATGTCGAAAAGTAGTAATTCAGAGTTAAATGGGTAATGTTGTAGTTACTAGTATTCATAATGGAGATAACAGGGGATTACATAAGCGTAATGAAAAACAGTTACATACTTAATAAACATGATTAAAAACAATCAAATAATTATGCGAACAATAAAGGATTATTTAATAAGCACTGAATTACTATAGAAGAGAAGGGTTTATCACACTTTCGTTCTATACACATAAATTAGGTCGGAAACGCCTTAATAGCGATTGTCCACACAAAATGGAATAAAGTTAGTGTTGGTTGTCTGTGAGTTGTTTTGGATGTACTACGCATATCCACTTTATGCCCTTTGTCGAGAAGACACCCGGTAATTGCACTTGTAAATATTTTACTACCTCTCTGATACCGAATCATAGGGACATGTTCAGACAATCTAGCAGAAACCTTTTTCTCTATCATTCCTGTATACTTGTTACCTCAGATACATGTCAATACACAGATCCAATTGAATGTGATATCGGAAGCATATTAGCCTACATTTTAATGGTGTAGTGAACATTTGGTATTCTATATTAAGACCGATTCGGCCACAGAAAAGCATCTTTTCAGTCTTGCTTTGATTCAATTGTTTTCCACGTTGTTTTGGGGATACTGCCTTATGAACATACAACGTGACTCAATTGTACTAATTTATTTACACTTTTTGTGTAGAGTGAAAAAATAACAAAATTTTCTGTTTTTTTTTAATTTTATCAAATTCTTGAAACCAATAATCCATTCAGACGTTGGGTTAAGTGACACGAAATCGTAAATCTAACTTACCTCCCACGTTCAATGTAATTTGTATTAATGGAAATAAAACCACTGTACCTGTGTTCATTTTCTTACACTTTCAGTGCATATGTATTTGCAAAAACACGATTGTTTTCCAGACGAGATACAGACATTCATAATACTATTGCTATTAAGAAAAGGAAGTATGAACATTGTGATGAATCAGATATTTCTACACCTTATGACAATTATTCTTCCGAACAAAATCTAGTGAGATTTCTTTTAACTTGTATATCATTTACATGTGGAAATTTTTCTATCATATAATAACATAAACTCCGTGCAGCTGTTGTCTTAACGCTATGGTCGGGTTTGAACCCTATTGAATTAAGACATGATCCTTCAGATTTTACCATACTACGCAGGTTGGTTGGAGAGCTGCAAATATATAATGAAGTATTTAGGATGTTCACGCTTAACAATAATTCATTCTGGCTAATTCCCTAGATTTCCGGTGCTCATTGTGAAATTTTGGATACAAATATGTTTTTGATACCGAAAAGTTAGTCACTATGTATGTATGTTCATGTTTTCAGGCCGATGAGACCAATAATACTAGTTTAATTTTCCTCTCAGGATACCTAAAGTAGATATGTTTTTGCAATACCAAGGACGTAAAGGTGTCGACTGATCACACACCTTCAGCACCGCTAATATTTACCTTTCTATTCATCACCGAGTTGTATTTAACATGTGAATCCATGGTTTGTACGAAAATTCTCTTGTCATACTCACAAGGAAATCTAGTTCACTTATATTATTGTTTAAGATATTTATTCATCGGAACCGTAATTACTGGGGTTTAATAATACAATCACCGGTGGTTCAACTAGAAAAATCACGTCTGAATTCTATGTTGATCTTTCATTGATTTCATAACAATCAAATTGTATTCAACGTCTTTTTTAAACTTGTGTTATCTCTCATAATCAAATTGGGTGAAACAACTTACAGCGATATACATTTTGCGCAATAGCCTTTGTTCTGTGTGACTGAGTGATTGAACTTTAAATTTCATCCATTCATAATATCAAAAATAAATACGGGAAACAACATGATTTTATTAATTGTGAACTTCATTAATTTTAATAATGTCAGCAAAACTTATTTTTGTTTAAAGAGTGATTATATAACATGTTGTATTTCACTGTCATTGGAAGTGGTCACTAAAAGTGATCAATATAATGTCTGGCTCAAATGTTTGGGTCATCGATTTTATAATTATGCAGATATTAAAATGGATGTTTTTGCTTTCAGATAAGTGATAACCAATTTCTTTGAACTATATCATCGGGTCATTAGTGTTATGATTTCATGTATTTTGACTAGTATATGATGTATATTTAATTAATTCCAGTTTTTCTCCAAATTTTGTTCTTCACTCCCTCCCCCAACTTCCATCGATACGGGATAGCCATCTTTATCAATTTTGAAGGGTAGTGTCATAATTCGCAATGGTATAAATGCACTGTATAATTTAATTCATCATGTAAAGTATAATGGTGATGATAATGTTGCTACTGCTGTGTCTACAGAGGCTGACGATGTCACTTCAACAAATCCATGTAGTGAATTCAATAAAATCACTCATTCGGATGAATTGAGTTTATTTTATAAAATGATATGTGATTTAAGTGTCAAGGTAATTACTACTGTTCATTGTTATTGCTATCATTATTATTACTATTACTATTATTATAACTTTAGTACTATTATTTATTTGTTCACATGCTAAGTGACTTATGATAATTCACTCTTAAAAAAGTAGAAATTTCATTTTCGGAAATTGTTTGTTTGAAACAAATTGAATGATCTGTTTGTTTAAAATGAAAAAAAAGTGGGATTGTGGTCCTAATATGAACGTCAGTACATGTTGGGTTCTAGGTACATGGAGCTGACCAGTAGTAAATATAGCTATAGATATATCCTATATACCACCACTGCTAGCTACAATTAATCTATTCTATGTAAATCATGGTATATGTCTATTTTTTTCCTCAACATACAAGGAATTACTGTTCACATACTACTGTTTATTTTATGCATTGTAAACTGTAAGTTGCTTAGGTCAATCCAGGCAAAATATAGTTAAAATTTATAATCTCATATTGGATTGTTCAAAGACTAGACTATTATTTTTAGACCATAGTTTCTAATATTTCATGTAAATAAATTTCTGTTATAATAATCACTTATATACTTGAAGTAATTCGCCACTGCACCACTTGATTTTCGCTTTACAGTTGTATCGATAAACTTCATATATAAAGACATCTTAAGTATGTAAATGATTGCTGCAATTCATTCATTGTTCCTGTTTGACAAAAACTGGTTCCTTCTTAAAACCTAGATTTGTTAAGTTCCCAGCTAGAAATTTAGTTTTGTACAATCCATCGCTTGCATTCACAAATATACAGCCAAAATATATTTCTTTGAAGGAGATACTTTTCAATGATTTGGGAAATTCTTTCTAGTGCCTTCAATATATTTTTGACATTCCATTCTGAATCGGTAGAACAAACATCTCTCTGGTATTAACATTTGTATTTGAGTTTTCTTCTCGTTATTAGTGTTTAGATTTAGTCATTGACAATCTCATCAATAAATTGCTTAAGAAAAAGGAAGGAAGTCTATTGATTCATTAAGAAGAGTGATGTTTGAGAGAAAAGTTTCCTTTCGACGCTGTTATTTTCTGAAGCTATAAACTCGTATTTATACGTGATTATTTTTACATGTAGTAGTCTAGTAAAATAGAGGAGATTTGCAAAATTATCTAAGATAGTCAAGCCTATTCGAGTGAAAGTCAGTGAAAATTAAGTGATTTTGCATAGTATAGTCAAGATTATCAAGACCTCAAGTATTAAATACAATATAATATACAGTATAACTAAGTTTTTCGATTATTGAGTAAAAAAGGTTACATCACTCAGCAAAGTAATCAAAAATCACCAAAAGCTTACATCATGCTATAGTTTCTGAAGCCACAAGAAGTAATAATCTATTGGATAAATGCTAGTGACAACTGTCTACTTAAAAAAGAATGTAATAAATTATCATTTGCCGTTCGTAAAATTCGGATGGGCGTTAAGACCATAGGTGAATAAGGGATCGAACATGACTTTTCTCTTTAAGATAGATAAATCGATTGATACATTAAAATATCATACCCCTGAACTGTCATAGTACTTACAGCGTAGTGTTTTTGTTCACTCACAATGTAAGTGTATTTAAACATCGACTGAAATGAATGAAAATTATTGTTATCAGTAGAAGGACATTTGACTGCACAGAATTTAATGACTTCCGTATCTTTTATTTACTGATAAAGTTCTGACGTCTCTCACTGTCTGAATTGGACTTTTTTAACACGTGACTATATATTTCTCCTGTTATTAGATTTGCATCATATCTGTTGCATTGAATTTTACTGGTTAATCATTTTAGGCTGGAATTACTACCAGTAATATTTACAGTACTCCTCGTAAACGAAGTCGTTTATTGTCTTTCAGCAAAGATCCAAAACTCACTACAGACTATATATTACATCTTTTGATTTCATACAGCAAGGTAAGCTCTTGATAAGATGTATTTATTTTTGGTGCAGCTTATTCATATTTTGAAAATTCGTTTGTCCGTAGTCTTAACTCCGTTACTTCTACAGAATGAATAGTGATAGATGACTTTTACATCAGTGAGTGGATTCTTCCGATGGAGTGGTTTCAGTATTAGAATTGCAACTGCTAATATGTATCTAGCCCTAATGAAATACTTGGATATTGAGCATTACGTAACGGAGGTGGTCGTTACTATTTCGTCATAGTAATTTTTAAACCATGATAATGTCTGATAAGCTTGATTGCTCTAGTTTTTATTATTTGAAAGAAAATAATATTTTTTCGAGCGTATCCTAAATTTACTATATTACAAACTTATGCTTCCCAGGTTATTTCTCATTTCTCTATGATACCATACACTATGTGATCTTAACGATGGCATCATTGCCTGATGGGAGCTAGTCCGAAGAGTCATGATTACGTTAACATAGGCATATTCATTTAGTTTTTGCATAACAGTCCTTTTTATGTATATTAGGGATGTGGAAACACCAGATACAACCTATGAGGAAGAAGAACAATATCGATTTCAGGTGAAAGTAAGGTCAACTTTGAACACATTTTCGTCACATTACTTCAGTGAATTTTCACAATGATTTATTTTTACTGACTATTATTCAGTTCATAAATCATCATTAATATATAACCCATTAACTTAGATGTATTTTCAATTATACTGGGATCACCACCAACAAAGCTTCTGTTAAGAAACCGAACTTATAACTCTAGTTAGCGGGACAGGGGAAAAGGGGGTAACGATGTTGTCGTTCACGTTATTAAAGTTGAAGTTGAAAATTAGTTGTTTACTACAAGAACCTGGGGTGCAAGCACCTCCAGCTGACAAGTCCCAGATAGGACGAAACGTGCGTCCTAGATTTTACTGTTAGCTACATTCCATCTATTCTACATTTATATATCACTTGATTTTTTAATTAGATTGATCCGTGTCGATAATAATTAAATTCCTTCGCTATCCTGAAATCAGATATAGTTTCAGCAGAAAAAGAAAACAAAACTATTGACGTCAGTTGTATATGTTGTTGTTACAGTTCAATTTTTCTATTTACCACCTGTTCTTTATGTATAGTTTTAGCCTAGAGATATCGATTATTTGTCGTCATTTCTATTCATTCATGTTTACTCGAGTTTGTGCTTTTGGAGCACTATTTGAATAAATTACATATCACAAAGTCATTTGGATAATTCTTGTTATATATTTTTTAAACTCGTTATTTTATCTTATAGTTCACAATCTCACGTCGTTTTCACAACATTGAATTCTATTTTATTCCGTTTGATTTTAATTTTTGTAATCACTTCAGGATCTTAGGTATTTGGATCACTTATTCCAATGTGAAAATTTTGAACGTCTAATCAATTGGCTTAGTTTAATCAGTCTTTCAGCATTAAACAATTCAGATAATAATAATAATGCACTACTTATTGATAAACATCATTCTTCACCATCAGTAAATCAACTCTTATTTAATGTGGATCAATGGACAAATGAATCGTATTATTGTGATGATAATAATAATAGTACGGATTCATCATTTGCAAAAGTAAATAACTTGCCTACTGTTCATCTAGAATATCCTATTCATCTTTTAGTCGCTAATTTTTAGCAAACATTTCGCAGCATCCATCAAGTTCCGTTTTAAACAATTATGAAGGTAAATGATGTATCATTTTAATATGTTTTCTTCCATTTGTTGTTACCTAATAAGTTTTATTTATTTTGATGATTAAGTTCGTCACAAAATAATGTCACATAAAGCGAGTGAATGAGAGAATGTCAGGTAGCAGCACTGAACAGTTTCCATTGTCATAATTTAGGACATTACAGCATTACACACTCACAATTCTGTTTTGTAAATTACAATAGCTTTGTAGTGTTCATTGGTTGTATATCGCTTTTTAGCTTTAAGTCACAATATACAAATAGTTTCCTCAAAATCATCCAACCTTAACAAAGTTAAATGTTGTTTCAAAGATTTTTAACGAAAATTAAGTAATGGTGAACATTTTAGTGTTGTTACTTTTTGTATACAAGTAGGTCAACTATTTAAGTGAACAACTTTGAAATCGTGTTAGTTTATCTTACAATCGAATCGATTTAAATGAAGAATAACCTATGTGCTAAGTTATATTGATCAATCGACAGTGATTGTTTACCTTAAGTCCAATGTTTATGCGTCACACAATCAGTTATGATTATAATTCATAAATACACAGAGTAAATATAAGTATTTTTTTCATTGGCTTGTTTTCTCACAGTTTTGAATATTAAATGTGAATTTCTATTTTAATGTACATAATGTTTTGTTTTCGATTTTCTCATAAAAAATGTCAGTTATCTACCCAGTTAAGGATTGTGTTTTGTGAAGAAGAACAATCACTCAATTCTATTAGAGAATATGGACATGTTGTTTACTTTGCTAAAATCATTTTATTGTTCAGCAATACCCTTTACATTTCGTCTATCTTTAAATCTGTATACCTAAGTGAAATATTTCTTTATTGTAAAATTGTAGGAACATTTTCCATGGTCTTCCTATTGTTCTTGATAAAAACTTGTTAGCAAATAATAAAGCTTAGTTTTTATGAGTCAGAAATTCTCATAGAATTGATGTATATATGTTTAACATTGTAATCCAAGACTATCGTTTCATCCTATTTGAGGCTAGTTAGCTGAGTGTACCTGCACCCCAGTGTTGATATTTTTACAAGCAATTGAGTGCTTTTTTCCCAGTTGAATTTATCATCCTCATAAACTTGTTTAATGTATGATCCCTTCCTCGCACTTGATAGCAACCTCTGTGAATTATGTGCATCATGTTGAAGCTACAAGTTAATGTTGTGGGTGAACAAAGATGTTTACACAGTACTTGATACTTTCAGAGTAGTCTTCTCCTTTATTTATTCTTCTATACGAATTCATTTAGACCATAAGAATAAAAACATAAATATCTTGAATTCATTAAATATTTTGAAAGTCATTTAAAGATTATCTGTCAAACCTCATAGGCTCAATTATCAATAACTGTTTGTATCAGTGGTTGAATATCATTTACCTACCCAGTGGACTATTGATCTTACTAATGCTTTCCTCAGTAAAATCACTGAAGCAATCCTGAACAGATTGTGGATGAAGTCTCCTCATCACGGACTACTGGCACCAGTTGGAGAACCATAGAAAACCAAAAAATTATTAAGTAGCTGTTTCTCTCTCGTTTTTGCTACTCAGCACTGTTTATTTAAAATCCCTCAAATTAATAAGAAACTATTGATTAATGGATAACACACACATATTACTGGCAAACACGAGAATCGTTGTAGAGATGTAGCTGTTACCTTGAGACGTTGGAAAGAAACGTTTTTCACATTGCCTTTTTAATGCCAATATAAATTATCGACTACGTATGACATAACTGTATTCGTTTGTGTTTTAATTCAATGAAATTCTTATTTATTTGTTATTATTTAAAACATCCAACTTTTTTGTGCAAAATATGTATGTTTATTAAACAATACTTAGGTAAATATAGTCAGTCAGTCAGTAACAACGTAGAACTTCGTACGCACGTACATCAGTTCGAGTTGCCACACCACATTTGCAGAGAGATGCAGTTGTCGATTCAAATTCCGTAGTGGTAGAAGTAATAAGAGTATAAGCAGTAGTCGGGAAGATTAGTGTTTGGGGATGTTATTTAAAGAGTATAATACAGTGAAATAAATTTGGGAAGAGAAAAAAAAGAGAGACAAGGAGGAATAAGGAGATGAAAATTTGGGAGAACACAAAGAGTGGATGCACCTGCGCCATTGCAAACGATTTTGAGCCATGTCATTCAGGGTCTCTAACCATCGGTTGCTATCATCTCGCGGTCCCCAACCAGGTAGTCTACACCTACCAACATGACTCAGTCCACTTGTCAGTGACTTCATGGACTTGTGCCATGTTTTGGTCTGGCCACCCCTAGCTTTCTTCCAACCTACTCCTATACCACCGAACATCGCACGTCGAGGCACTCGGGTGTTGGGCATACGTAACACGTGTCCCAGCCATCTCAACTGATGAAATTTCACTACTTCATCAATTGATTTGCCATCCTTACCTAGTACCCGTTTCCTAACAACTGTGTTACTTACTCGATGGTCCCATGATGTACGAGCAATATTTCGAAGACACCTATGATCGAATACTAGTAACCTACGGATATCCTCTACTCTTACCGGCCATGTTTCACTGCCATAAAGTAGGACGGAACGAACTGCTGCGCAGTAAACCCGTCCTTTGGTTGATAGACGGATATCCCGCCTACGCCATAAATGACGCAAGTTGGCAAAAGCTAGTCGAGCCTTCTGTATCCGTGCTGATAGAAAAGTATCACAAACAAAGAATTACATTTCCTTGCAACTCATTAACCAAGATCATATCTTTTTGTTACTTTTATCAGATATCAATAAATTAATTAGCCTATGGAAAGTTTCTACAAGTTTGCATTTAAATCTTTTTGGTTCCAAGATTGATCATAATTTAAAAATTCATTCTAAAATAATTGACACTTCATTTTCTGATTCGCTCAATTCATATCCTATCTACTGTCCAGATGTTTATAACTTAAATGATTCCAAGTGAGTTTACATAAAAATGTTTATCTTGTTTGATTTTCATGGTTAATTATTCTGCATAGTTTTGTTGAAGGGGTTTGGTAAAGATTTATTTCATTAGTAGCCGGTGTTTGTCATTTATTGACCTCATTTTATTTACCTTAACTATGGTCAAGCTGTGATCAATATCATATACATATTTTGCATATTGTTTTTATACAGTGTCTGTTATCAGTACATAGGAATGTGAAATTGAATGACCACTTATTTAATCATAAATATAATGTAGTGAACGAGAACACCAGTGGGGACAGTCAAATGTATTTGAACACAAAATTACAGAAGCTCTTAGTAAAATCTAAGATTCATGCAGTAAATTCTTCATTTGCAAAACGTCAATCAATTGTCTGTGACTTGACTGTTCCTTCGTTTCCACACCAATCACTCTCTGTTCTCGTTCTCTTTTCGTCCATCTTCTGCCTCTAGACATTTCACTTACGATTGATGATACATACCACTTATATCTGTCGACATAAGTAGCACACACTACAAAACACACTATGCCATTCAATTACAAAATCATTTAAAACATAATGATTCAACTAATTGCTCAATGCAATTTATGGCTCAAAGCCATGTATACGAATATGTACCTGACTGATGAATTAGAAACAAACATAATTTTAAATTGATCATGTTAGGAGTATAACTTGGCGAATCTTTACGAATAGATAATAAATATTACCGAGCTTACTTCGGTTAATATTTATCAAACCTATCTCCTTATTTCGGCTAATAATTTCTTATAAGTTTAATTTTACATAATAAAGTTGGACTGCTTCTCTCCATTTTATCAAGATCAATATATGTTTGCACATTTTCCCCTAAATTACGCTGTCGTTTTATTACAATAAGTTTGTTCTTATAAGATTCTACTACGTTTTTCACAAAAACACACAAATCAGATGTTTGCTTCCCTTATAAGCCTATTTAATGACTAATTTACACTTTCGTTGAAAAATTCCATCTATTCTGCACATTTTTCATTGATATGTTCTCATTATTGGATATGGCATAGCTAAGTATGATCCGATTGTTGCATAGTTTTACTCCATATAAGTAGTGGTGGTTATACCATGTAAATATTTGTTAGCTTACTTCACCGAAACGTTATATACTTCCTTTATACGCATGATGTTAGTCATCAATCAATAAGTTTTCATCTGATCAACATTTTTATTTCTCTCGTAAACATTTTGATTCGAATAATATGGAAGTTTTTTTCCTGTTGTTAAAATTATCTTCATTCAGTATTTGTTTCTTAAGAGTGATATTGGTAATAATATGCTGTACTAACTAACCAATTAGATTTATGTTGGCGGCTATTGGAGTTTTGCGCCAAATTTAAAGTCCAGTCACGGAGATCTTGTACCACATTAAAGCCGATTAAACTACTGTAATGAACGAAGATTCAGTTATGGTAAACCAATTTATTATATTATGCGGAATCACAGTGTATTCGTAAAATGTGAAAGGAATACATTAAATGCACTATTTGCCCATCTTATTTGAGTTATCTTTTACAAACTCCATCATTCTTTTATTCTTGTTGTTATTTCGATTGCTTTCCATTTTTCTTTCTCCTCTTTCCATTTTCCACTTCTGTCCGTAAAAATTTTACTTTCAATTCCCGATACATACTACTTATATCCGTCCGTACAAGTACTGCGAATCACACTACTACCAAAATGTAATTAATAAAATGTTGAAAATTGATCAAACTGCAAAGATTGAAGAATAGGCATCATGATCTATAAAAATGTCTAGAGTTAAAGTAAACATTCTGGATGTTTAAAATAAAAAAATCAACTTCATAAGTGTTCATCTTTATGGGTCTACAGAGAATTCACTCACTTGACTGTGCTTATCATTACTCCTAGGTGCTAACGCAAATTTTGGATTTCCAAACATAACTAACCTGTAACCCTGGTCCTTTAGTCTTTACCGAATCACCTTGACATTTTTCTAATTTTGGTGTAATAAGTGATTTATTTATATCACTGCTCTCAAATGCCTTGATACGACCGAGGGTGGAAAGGGTTCTCCCTTCCTCTCGAAATGCTCTCACGTAGCCACGAGTATACAACCATTACCAGGAGAGCCTTACTCATTACTTTCTCTAGTCGGTAGCGTTGTTCACGAAATTGAGAGGACGAAAGTCGAATACTCGGCGCTTTAACCAGGTTAGTGGGCACAAAGTATCCAGCTAAAGGAGCTGGAAAACCCTGATTTCAAACCAATGGTGCACTTGGGCTCCAGGATCCTGATGAAACAAATGGCGTGTGAACCTATTGTTGGTCATCGGATACTACTAAACCGCATCTCCTGACGTTGTTCCACTGCCTTGTGGACTAAACCTTCAGGTCGGGAGCTCGGGGTGTGGCCCCCTAAGAAAACCACCTGCTTCGGTCTGGGCACCCGGGTAGTATCACAGAGTTCACACAAATCAATGATAATTACTACTGGCCTCATTGTTATTGTGTGGCGCAGTTGTATTTAGTGCCCTCTTATACCGATGTTTATGCGTTCAAATAAGTAAATATAATATTTATATCACTGACATTCGTATTTGCTAAATATCAGGTTTACTTTATCCAAGTCGCTGAAGGTATTTACTGCAGTGTACATTCCATGTGATATCTTGTGATCACTTGTGAAAATATAATGAAGAATATCCTTAAATGTAAATGGTTCATAGATATTCAACGACCTGTTTAATATATTTTGATCTGAAAAATCGAATCGTATATAAAACTTAGTGGTCATCACTTATTTTATGCAACATACTTCCACTATAGCTTTGCATTATACAGTGATCCAGTTGAAATTTACTGATTCACTAAAATGATCTATGTAAGATATTGAGAAATAGTATTAAAATGATTGTTCCATGTTAACATTTTCATACCGATAAATTTTCCAATAACTCGTTTGTTGATTATAAGAGAAAGATCTTATTCCTGTTCTAAATAAATTTATTGCTGTCTCTAATATTCATAGATTTTCGAAAAGTTTAATCTATAGAGAACTTTTGTACTTGGTGCTAATTAGTTTACTCTTCAATTCTGTTTTTCTTTCTAATGGTTTGAAAACTGAATTCTGATAACAGCTACAAAAAAGTTGTAAAACAGTTAAGATATGGGCTAAATAAACGACATACGATTCTGTCATTCTTTTTGTTCAGTTAGTATTGACGATTGAATATAGAATTTCTCTGTTGATATTTCAGTTATTTACCCTTGACATGTTTAATTTGTTTATGATTTCTCTCCTTTGTTTATTTTTCTCTATCATTTTCCTGTTTCTATTTATAGCAATATCAACGAAGATTATGATTTTGATATTATTTTTGTGAACGGTATGTTGGGTAGTGTTTTCTACACTTGGAGACAGCATGATTCAATGCTTGCCAACAATGCCACTCAGTATACAAAATGTTGGCCTAGGGTAAGTATATATATATATATATATATATATATATATATATATATATATATATCATCACACAATCTGTCATTTTAATTTAACGCTTATTTACCACACTGAGTTATACGTTTACTTTAAAAACAAGCGTTTTTGTTATGTATGTGATGAATGGAAGCTTATATAGTAAGCCCTTTGAAGTTTTTATTACCTACTTGCTGTTATTTAAATGACTAACCTACTATGTAAAAGTGTATGAGAGTCTGATTTAATGCGTCTGCACCTCAACTTGATCTATCCTTCCGTTGGTTGTAAACATAGACGATCAATAACCTATCTACACATAAAATACATATTTTTCGACTTTTTACGCATACACTCACTCTCCTTCTAGTGTGCTAATGATGCTCATAAAACAAATCTAACAGAGTAGATTTCACGAAAATCAAGACTATCGTCAATACAACAAATAGCTTGTCTAGAATGAAGACTCGGTTCACAAAACGATAAATAATTTTTAGCATCTCTTTGTATCAACAATTCCCTGTCTATTTCACCGACTACTCATATACTGAAGGAATGATTCTAATAATATAGTGAATATTGTATTGTTATTTAAATTTTATAGGACTGGCTTTCCCATCGATTTCCTCACGCTCGAATTATTGGTGTTGATACGTCATTGAAGCCATTTGTTTGGCATTCAATTTGTCCACTTCAAAAGTTACGGTAAATTTATTCTCTTGTTTATTTAATGTATACCATTTCAAACTAAATAATTTTTTTCACGAAAGTATATCCTTGTTATGATCTTTTTTTGAGGGGATTGACACGTTCAAACTTTCCATTTTAAAGACAAGAATTTTTTTTCTATATCTTGAGATCATAGATTACTATTTAATTTATTATAAATTCAATATGTGAATAACGTGATGAGTTCTCACAGTTAATGTGGTTCTAATCTTGTTCCTCAGTATTTAAACATAAACATGTTGTTGGGTTATCGGTATCAATGCCAAGGTTGGAATTGTTACTATCAAATAAATTTTTCTACTCACTGGGATATAACAAAAAATATATTTATTTAGTTATCATTTTAACTAGACTATAAATAAACGAAACTACCCTAGTTACTATTCTTTCCAGGTCTTAACTATTTTAAATTTCGTCGACTGAGCACTTTTTCTTATTCGGTTTTATCTTATCCTGTTTATGTATGACCAATATTCAGATGTAAATGGTTAACGTAGTTTTGTTTCCTGAGTTTCGTACGGTGAATCGACCAGATTTTTTGTTAATTAAGCTATTTTACTTTATGATGCAGTTAAACTTCATCAGTTTAAATAATTAGAGTAGTTTTCATCTACTTCAAGCTTCTATTTTCGTTGGTTTTCTGTATTTGTTCACTGATGAACTGTATTCGAATAGATCTATCTTTTATCTGTTGGTAAGAATCTATAGGCTTATTTTCTGAATTTTGTAAGATAGTAAAAATATGATAGTTGTAGACGTTAAGTAATGTTACCCAAAATCAAAATGGGTAAAAATATACGCATTATTTCTTTAATAAGTCATCCTATATATATAGAACTTGACATGTTTTTAGGTACTCATTTACTTCTTCTGTCTCATTGACTTTTCTTAACTCCATGTTTAAACTTCTCATTTTGAAATGTGTCTAGAGGTTAAGCGCTCACCGCCAGACCAAAGGTTCCGGTTTTGATCTCCGATAGAGTGAATACGCGCTGCTGTGATACCCCGTACTAGAACGAAACAGCTGTCCAATGCTTTCTGGTATTCGATAGTTGTCTAACTACGATCAGTCTGTGATGCAACGTATAACAGTCCAACTATGTCTGCAGACCCCGAATAATTATAGTTCATTAGCTAATGAATTCTAAAGTTGACTTCTACATTTATTTCAAACTATTGTCTTGAATGTTATAAGATATCAGTTAATTATTTGCATATTCTCTTGATGATTGAATCATACTTTAAATTACTTATTGTACTTGTTTTCTTTTTAAAAAAATGAAGATAAAATTTTTGATTCATCCATTACACTCTACGTCAAACTCCTTAGGTATGCAAAGAAAAAAGCTCACTTTACCATATACTGTTAATGATGTTGATTAACGGAATTTTATCTTACTTTTCCTGTGTAAAATGCAATTCTAAAAAACCTATCGGTGAAATACTTGACATTTTTTCAAAAACTGAATTCATTAAAATTGCTATTTCTATGTTTGATTTAACATAATGCGCTTAATATACTGATGAATGTTTGGTAGTGGTCTCATTGCTAAGAATTTTAATGACGCCTCAGATTTAGTACAAATTGATGATAATAATAATAATGTAATAATAACAACAATATTGGGTAGTCAATGCCAATTCATAAATCAACTGAAGTTGCAAGTGAGTAGATTATTGAGGGTTCCGGCAATCCAATGATCTCAAGGTAATATGCTCGTCTCCAAGACTTGGGGTCCTTAGATTCGAACCATGATCGGTTCATCTGGGCGTATTGTTGAGTTCATGCAAAGTCGAAATGCTTGTCCAGTACTCTTTGATTTTCCAAACTTCTCCAAATGAAGTTAATCTGTGGCTAATACCACCTTCAATTTTAACCAATCCTTCAGTCAAACAATGTTTATGTTATTAACACTGATTGACTAATATTTTAACTAATAAAGAAACACTTTTTTGTAGCAACCTAAAGTATTGGTTTATTTTATATCTAGAAGTTAGGTTATAGATTTACTCTCAAAAAAGTTGTGGTCATTCAAAACACTTCTTTCTTCAGTGATTAGCTTTATTATTTTATTAATCATTAATGAATTCACTAAACATGTGTATAAACCTGCATTGTGCATATTATATCTTCTATTCAATAGTTTTTTTTTATCCGAAGATATTACTAGAAGTAAACTTATTCAAATAGTTTATAAATAAGTGAACAGTAGTAATGGTTGTGATATTGGTTTTCTCACAAACGTCTTACTTCATTTGACTCATATATGCATATCTGAATGAGTGGTTTATGAAAATTTTTTAATTTTGAAGATATTTGGACAATGAATAGTCAGTATATATATTAGTGGGGAAGTTGCTCAGTGGTTAAGGTATTCAACTTTCATCCACTCGGTCCCGCTCAATCTACTTCGGTTAGGGCGACTGAATAGTATCACTTACCATCATAACGAAGTACAAGTACTTGGTGAATGAGTTAAAAATAAATCAACGATATATAATAGCTTCCTATTTATTGGATACCATGAAGTACATAAATCACTTCCAAATGCATCGAACTGAGCTTATTTATTCTTTCTTTTTTCAAACATATAAAATCTATTGTATCATTACTACAAGAAGCTGTTTGTTTTCAAACGAAACAGTAAATATTTTTATCATCTTCATCGTTACATGTTAATAGCTTAGCTTTCTTAAAGTTTCTTTATTCCTCGTTCATGAATGCCTTATATGGGTTAGCAAACTTGATAGGTGTTCCTCTTCTACTACTCTTCTTACCATAAAATAGTAATATTGCTTGTAATTAAAAAGAAGCCGATATCCTCTTAATCTCTGATCTTCCATTTCATTGTAATGTATCATTGATACACCAAGTATAAATTTGTGTATTCGGCTTTAACGATTACTCTGCTCTACTCTTTAATCCTTCTGTGGCTGATATTGAATGATAAAACTGACTAGATGCTTTGTTTAGAATATGGTAAAGTATGATTAATACTTCGCTGTATAGTTTAACATATACACTTATAATCATCCAATTAATTTATTCAAATGATCTAATCATATATACTATGTATATTAATAAAATGTCCCATGTTTTATTAATTCAACTCTCTATTTCTCGTGAATTTGATAAAAATCAGTCGCAGTAGTACAATGCTTTTTCTTTTTGTTTTAATAGGCGTACATTAAATGAGCGAGCTGTAGATATAATGAAACAACTTAAAAAAGCAGAAGTTGGTCGTCGACCTATAATATGGATTACTCATTCAGCTGGAGGTAATTCACTCTTTTTTTATTACTTCTTTCGTTTTCATATTTTGCCGGTTTTGTTTTGTTTTGTTCATCAATTAATTTTTTGTTACTTTAAGAAAAATAAATATTAGCATCAGAGTTGTAGTATATGGTGGTTATTTTTTTATTATCAAAAATCTGTTATCCACTAGGTAAGTACTATAAACTATGGATCGTTAAATACACTAGTTATGTTATACTCTATAGTTCTTCGCTGGTGAGTACTTACCACCTTACACTGAATCCAATTCCAAGTCCCTTACTGTAACGTATAACGTATTTGTAAATTACAGGTTTCGCTAATGCAATTACAAGACGAATTTTCTCATTACATTATCGAAATTTGTCAAAGGGACTAATTGTTTTAAATTACAGGTTTATGTATTTAGTTTTGAGCTACATCGTTTGTATGAAAAGCTTGCCCAAATCAAAGTATACGGTGTGATTCAAACCTGCAACCTAATGAGTGGAGTCTAGATACTCTAACTGAATACTCCTCTATTTACGACAAGAACAAACGCACTAAGTTACTGGTTTGGAATCTAAAGGTCTACATTTCCTAATTTCTATCATTTTGTGATTACAGTCTAACCCCTGCTCCTCCCCCGCTGCACTCAATATCATCAAAGTATAACTTCGCATTTGACTTCCTTTTCAATAAAACTTTAGGAAATTCATCCGAAGTTGGCCATATTAATGAGAAAACTGATTAATAGTTATTCAAAATCACTTACCCCATGAAATGATATTGATTTTTTGTTGTTGAAATAATACATATTTTGTCATAATTTCACTGCTACTCTTTTTTTGCTGATTAATGAAGGAGTTACTATTACTATCATTCCATTAAAGTGATGTTTTAATTGTAGTCTAACGGTCTAGGATTTTTCATTCTATTTAATATCTCTGAATTATCCTAAAATACTGTTGAGTAATTGTGTTGTTCTTTATGAAGTTGCTTTTTGTCAAACTGTAAGAACTAGCTGAGCATTTCATCCACTTTGGAAAAATGGCTCTATCTCTTTATGCTAGAAGTATTCACATTAAATATAATTTGCGTTAGTTCTCATACATCACCAATACGTTGATTCAGCAAACGTTAAGGAGTTAATAATATTGCATAAGTTAGTGTACACATCTCAGGTTTACGGGAAATCATTTAGGACTTTAATAGCTCAGTGGTACTGTCTCTGACTGTGATGTGCATTTAAATTTTGTAGAAAGCATCATTCCCCTCGAGAATTTATACACATCTCTGACGGTTTACATCTTATATGAAACCTAGCTTTTATGATTTCTACCGGTCAATTTCAACCACCCAAGACCAAAGATAGTATATCGCAATAATGAGTTACCTAGAATAGTGACCACGTTACAACTTGATAAGTAGAATTAGATTATCACTAAGAACTGGTTGGGTTTTAGCAGTTCCATTGTTAAAACTAATAAATATTTTGCAATACAATTCAGACTTCAACTGTATCATCACATATGGTAATAACGATGTAATTCACTTCTCCAATACAAATCCATTCATAATATTGTGAGCTACTTTTTTCAATTGCAGTTTCTTAGAGATACTTTTATTTGAAGTGCTACTTAAAGTTGAGAGCTATCTTATCGAACGTTCCCAACCACTAGTCGTTGTTATCGGGCGAACCACAACCATTTAGTTTTCTTAAACCAGTTTGATTGCGATCAGGAATTAGACTTCACAGACCGATTCTTATATATTGGTTTGGCCGCTCCTAGGTTTCTTCTACATTAGTAAAGATTTGCCCGTCGATTTATTCTATGGTAAGGCATATGTAACGTAGATCCCAACCACTGCAGCTTATCAAGACTTACCATCTCAGCAACTGGTTTCTCACTTCTGTTTGGTACCGCTATGCCTAACCTTAACATTTGTCATGCATTTGCCTCACGAAACACGAGAATATTTCAGGGAAACCTTTGGTCAAAAACCTGCTTCCTGAATATGTCATAAGCTAGGCTTTCATAGACCATGTTCACAACCATTAATAAAAAGAGAACTATTGCACGGTATACACACCTTGGTTAGCAGACGGACATTTCAACTACCCCATAAATGACTTAAGTTAACGAACACTAACCAATACCGTGCTGAGATTTCGTCAAACACTAGGCCACTTATGGTTGACGAGACTTTCATCATTTTTTACATATCCCAGAATGTGAAAATTATCACGAACACTGGTTGATAAACTCAACTTGTTAATCAAGATTAAAAACATGTATTCTTACTATTAGTAGTAAGTTTAATTTAGAAGAAAGTCGTACTTATTGACTCACTAAATTTGGTCCTAGTTTTGTATTTCTTACTTTTTCATTTTCCAATGTTGATAATCTATATAAATACAAACTAGAGTGTACTCTGCTTACCGACACTCACTGTAAGACACATCATTTCATATATATGGAGACGTTATGTGTGTGGATCGAAATAATGAAGTGTTGAGCTGTCAATAAATAAATAGTACCATTTTTAGTTATATATAATTAATACGTATATATGTATGCAAACAAACAAATTTTATTAAACTTCTTAATATTAAGACATTATTATGAACTTGAAAATATAAAGGTTCGTTAAAAATGTACTCTTGGAATGATGGATTCATGTAAAGCTTGTTCACTGCTCTTAATAATAGTGGATCCATCCGAATCACATTCTATGTACAAAAAATTGATAATAAGATTTAAATAACCCAGTTATTGATATAGAGAGCTGAATTCTGATTAATCTTTGTTGGCATATGTGTATCCTATGTGGCTTGCTTTGATGAGTTGTGGTCATCACTAGAACCAGGATTTGCATTTCATCTTTAGCTGTCAGTACTCAGTCGCTCAGTGAGTAATGGATTTTGTGTTTAAAGAGTAAGGTACCGGATTAGGGTTCCGATATAAATATCAAAACTGACATGCAGGTATATCCAGCTGACGAGTTCCGAATAGACTTCTCGGACTCCATTGTCAGTCACGATCCATGCAACATATAAAAAAATGGTTCTTTTAGGTTCGAATACTTTCAGTCATATTGTATACAACGAGAATACTGATACAAATATATATCTATCAAAATTTTCACACTTCACATCACCATGATTCAGGGGATTGCGATGAAAAGCAAAAAGTGTGGAATAAATACGATGCTGGACATTTAGTTGAGTGTTAATCCATATAAGAAACAAAATATGTATTCGTACGAATATGTATCAAAGTTTATTTCTGATTACTATGTACACTAATTAAGCTGTATTATGTCGTCTAGATCCCCACTAATTCAATTTGTATTCTTCAAATTCATGGATTCTGATTTTTTTAAGAATGTGCGTACATATTGGAAACCAAGAAAGATTTCTCCATGTGTATATCGTTTTATATATTTCATTTGTCCAATTTAATAATTGAATATTACTGTTTGGAAGTAACTATTAACTACTTCTCTTTTAATACTTATATGAAATATTCGTTTTTCTAACACCATCAATAGGTATTCTTGTGAAGGAAATGCTTCGATTGGCTAATTCTGTTAGCAATGGTACTTCCGAACAATCGAAAAACGATCATTCTGAGCCAAGTACCACGCTAGCACTAGAGAGTGTGCACACGTTTCTCATACTTATGCAGCTTTGTCAGTTTTAAGTGGAGAAAACCCATCTGTTTCTCAATCCTCAATTTCTAAAATCGATCCATCCTGTAAATGGTATTGTCACGAAACTGACCAGGAGAATGGAAATCTGTCAAATATATCGAATCCTAGTTTTGTTGAAGATAAAAATTCCAATATTTCTGATAAATATTTTGCAAATCGTATGTATTATTCGTCTAGTTGTTGTGATTTTCTGTCCAAACGCAGTAGTGATGCATCATTCCTAACCACTTTATCCGATAGTTCGAAAACAGATCCTGTAAATTACCAAACATTAGCAAGCACTACACAAGCAGTTGTATTTATGAGTACACCACATAGAGGAAATCAATCGGTGCACACTTTATATCGTCGTCCATTCCGATGGGCGCTTACTCCTGAAGCTATTCAACTTGAAAAAAGTATGTTCGTACTTTTATTTTGCTTACTGACAATAAATAATTTTCGTTTCTTTTTTATCTACTGAGGTTTCAACTTTTTTTCTTTCGTATCAGCTATGAGTTTGTCATGTTTTATCTAACTAAACTGTGTAAAAGTGATACCAGCTTATTACAATTAAATTTTTCCTAAAGCGAGATTAACGAATATTGTTATGTAGCGAACGAGAACTTAAGTGGGGACAACCAAAGGTATTTTAATGCAACAGTACAGAATATCTTGGTAAAATCTGAGAACCATACAGTGAATACTTCACCTGCAAAATATCCATCAATTGCCTCAGACTTCATTGTTCCTTCATTTCCGCACCAATCACTCTCTGTTTTCGTCCTCTTTTCCTCTATCTTCTTAGCCTAGTGCATCCAGCATTTCACTTTCTATTGGTGATATATAGTACTTATATCTGTGGATATCAGTATCATATATCATAGTTAGATCCAGTAAATTAATATTTTACTTACTGTAAATCTACCCTCACAAAAATGCTAATTTTGTGAATTAAATGCAGTGTTACAAAAAAAGTAAAATGTACGAAACAAATGTAGTTATTGTCAGTAATGTGGAAAATCACTAATCACTAGAACAATAATAACTTGAGTATATGTTGGTGACAAATATCGTAACATGTTGGTGTTGAAATCACCAGGGTTGAAACTTAACACAAACAAAATTCTTCGAGGATTGAAACTCAAAATCGGGAGCTACCTTTGGTTTTAATTAAAACTGAGATTTTATTTACTCTCAAGATTCTACAGTCGACTAAAAATACACAAACGTTCGATCCCATTAAGACCAGTAGTAAATTTCACTAATTTACTAACATATCTTTTCTCCAAATACCTGTCTTTAGTGTGAAAATCTTTCTAAAAATATACAAGACTTATAAATAAACATTCATTTTGATTTTAAATTCAAAATAACAAACTAGAAGCTAGATAAAGCCATGATATTTGTCCATGATTTGCTAGCATCCCTATTATCGAATGTCCTAATATCATTTTCGGTTTGTTCGAATCGGGCACGAATATATCAGAACGATGTCCACGAAATACCAGTAGAATCATCAAAGCTTTGAACTTCCTCATAGGAAATAATTATTTTAAGTTCAAAGAAAGCTTATTTAGTTAGACAAATGGAGTTGCGATGAATCTCTCTGTATCATCTATATTTGCAAATCTATTCATGAATAGATTTAGAAAAATAACATCTTAGTTAACAGACCGTTGTTTTAAGCTCTTCCCTGTACTCCTACCAACTTTTTGTATGATTTAGCCGATAATAGCGGAGTCAGTCATACGTGGCGTAAAAGTTGGCATTCTTAACCATCAGTCCAAGTTGTCACAACATTAACACAGCAAGGTAAAATTATCAAGGCGAATCCCAGAATCGTAGAGTTAATAATACTGTTAGTGGTAGTAGAAAAAATTGGGAATAGGTCGTAAGATTCTTAGTGGAAGAATAAATTATCAGGACAAACAAAAATGAGTATAAGATAATTTTAAAATCCAAGGTTTAAGGGGAAGACACAGTGCATATGAATCTTTGCCGTTGCGATCGATTTTGAGCACTGTCACTCAGTCTCCAAACATCAATTAAGATAATTGCGCAGACCTTATCCAATCAGTGTGCTCCTAACAATAAGACTCACTTTAACTAGTTTATGAACTGATCCCACGTTTTAGTTTGGTCATCTTAGCTTTCTTTCAGCTTACTCTTACACCTCCCAACATCTCTTGTCGAGGTAGGCATGGATTACATATGTGTATAATACATGTCTAGACGATGAAGATTCACAACCTCATCAATAGATTTTCCGCTCTTGCTTAGTATTATGCGTCTAACCTCAGCAGTGCTCATTCAATAGCTTGAACATACGGGATCAATGCTACAGACGTATCTGTTATCAAATTCTGGTGACCTACGAATATCCTCTACTTTTAAAGGTTACTTTTAACAACCACAGAGTATAACAAAACTAATTTCTGCCTAGTGTGCTCGTCCTTTGGTTGACAGATGGACATTTCGCCTACGCAACAAATGATGCAAACTAGGAAATGCAATCCATTTTTTCACTCCCAATTATTAATTCAGACATTGACGTAAATCAGTCTTGAAGCAACATTTTGTATGCAAAGGTAGAGAGTCGTATCCCTAGCATTTTTGCATTTTTTTGCTTTAGAAGGTCGGAAGACTCTGCATTTGATGAACATCTTCATCAAACAGACTGCAAAAAATGCCAATCATGTATGGAAAGGGTCATTTTAATTCAAATATCTTACACCACCTCATCTTTATTTTATAGATTCAAACTATTTGTTGGATCTCCATGTTTGGTTTAATCTATGGGCATATAGTCATAAAGTACAAATCTTATCTATGGTTGAAAGTCGTGTAACACCAATCAACAGATTTTGGTCTGTTTTAATTGTCCCTGAAGATGTTAAAGGTTTGTCTTAATTCATGTTCATGTAAATCTCTTTCAATTCAATAAAGTTATTTAAAGTTGCTTTGCTGACAATCTGAAGTTTTCAATATTCTCATCCTTATGAAGTATGTTTTACATTGCTTGATATAGTGAAAGTGTGTGAACTTTCTTAGTTCACTGAATACAAGCACTGACTAACTAGCTACATTAAAATCTAGTTCGGAATTGTTCATTACATGGCTTCATTCAGACTTCGACTGGTTTTCGTCAACCTTTTGATTCTGTTATGTAAAAAAAGATTAGTTTGTGACACCACTGAGAATAGAGACCTCTACTACCGTAGCGGAAGTTGCTTCACTAATAGATTTGTGGAATTTAAGTCCTATTACTGATTATATGAGGATATTATGGCATTAAAATGTGCCCCTATAGTGACCAACGATACGAGTTACAGTTTCTCGATACTTAGGAAAGTTGAAGTAGACTAAACAGAATTGGATTATCCTCTTCCTAAAATCTGTAAATGCTACGGCTAAATGTTACTAGCTGAACTAATTAAGATGTTAGATACTTATTTATTTAAACACACATAAACATTAGTACAAGGATGCGCCAAATATATATGCGCTACATTTCGTCGTTTGTTTTGTGTGAGGGCTGGAATACTGCCCGGGCTCCCAAACCGAAGCAGGTGGATTTCTTAGGCGGTCATTTCCCTAACCTTTGATATAAAGGTCTAATCCACAAGTCAATGGAGCAACGTCAGGAGATGCAGTCCCATGGTATCCGGTGACCAACAATAGGTTCATACACCATTTGTTCCCTCAGGATCCTGGAGCCCATGTGCACCATTGGTTTGGAATCAGGGTCTTCCAGCTTTTCGTCCTCTTAATTATGTAAACAACACACCCACTGTGAGAAGTCAGTGAGTAGGATATAGTGTCTAACTCAGTGATCATTAGTTCTAGAATCTCAGTTGCTAATTATCCAACCCCTTGTAAAAAGTGAAAAACAATTTTACTTTTTAAAACTTAGATAAGTTGCTTAAACAAAATTCTTTATCTAAATCGTAAATCTGTTTTCACCCAAAACTCTCTTATAACTTCCAGACAACTAACTCTTTAATATTTTTCTTATTATTCAATCTGTTATGGATGCAGGACAATGTGCCAATCATTATCGTGTTAAGTCTAACGATGTCCTTGGACGTTAAATGGACATTTCATATTGGCCATTATTTATTTCATTCGTTAAATATTGTACAAATGTTGTTTTCTATTTTTATGGTACGATTTGGTCTGTTTGGTTAGTATATAAATAGAGTATGTCTGAAATACAACGATTCATAACTCAGAGGCTGTGACTTGCGTTCTTGACACAACTGGCTGGGCTAGACAGGAGAGCGGGACTCTAGGTCGTCCTTACTTGTCACCGAATCGATCGATATAAACGCTGCCCCATCTAACCTGCAGTCCACCCGTTACAACACAATCCAGTCATAGTTTCGTCATTTATTCAAATAGTCTCATTTTTTTGAAGTCGTAAAAATTTTCCTTCCTAAACTCTCATTTCATTATTTATCATCTATATTGTAGACCGAGAGATGGGTAAATTGGTACGTATCGATTCAGATCATTTATATATAAGTAAACCAATGAATCCTTCTGATCTATCATATACCAGTATTGTTAATTTTATCGAAAATCTATCATTATGTAAACAGTCACCTGTGAATACTGATGAAACAACCTTTGTAACTTCCCATATTTCTAGAGTACATTAAAAGTTTCTTCTTATTATTATTATAACATTTCCTAATCTCACTGACTTTTCTCAGTTCATCAGTGAACAGAAGAGGTTTAATTTGTCATGTACGTTTTCAAGTTGTGAAATTCTTTCTGTTCGTTTTATTTGTACAGGCTACTTATCTGAGTTACTTTTTACTTTCACTCTTTCCCGAAGATTAGTCTAATACAATTTTTTTATTATTATTTTCGAAGTGATATTTTGATTTTTTTTTCGGTGACTCTGTACAGTGAATTATGTTTGTCTTCACCTTTGATTCCTCCCCACAATGTGTCTTTTCCAGATTAATTTACTTCTTTTTAAGTGGAATCCAAACTGTTACCTGCATTATTTTGTAATTTCTGATAATATAGAGTGATAATTAATAAATTAATTCATCAGTAATTGTGTTATTCAAAAATTAGGAGAATATGTATATTTATCTCCAGATGTATCATGAATAAATCTGTTATAGTGTATGATTTAAGTACTGCCAATTTAGTGTGCACCTACAGCTAAGTATAATGTATTGTTGGAGACTGTTTGTAGGAACCACGCAACTTAAGTTTTTGTGCTAGTTTACACTCTTGATCAAGCTGTATTTGAAACCGTCGGTGAATTAACGTTCACCACGTAGTTTGAATCTACCCAATCACTTATGCCATAACTGATCTGTAAAATTCAGATATTATGGATTACTGAATCAAATCATCTAATACTTTTGCCCGGTCAAATTCTGTCGATCTATTTGCAATATATCTGATTAACTTTTCAGTCAGCCGTTCGTGATGCAATCCGTTTTTACTCTGGTAGTCACTGTCATGTTCGTTTGTTGCAGTTCCTGACTTATTAACGTTACGAACTAGTGTTCCTTGAACATTGGTGACACTAGTATCCACAGTCTGCCAATTGAATTGCTTATTTAAACACGAATTGATTGGATTGCTTGTTTTGGGCTAAACTCAACATCGATGTGTTCGAACGCTTTCAATTTACAGAATAGACCCAACTGTGGCTTTGCAAGTTTGGACGTTTATTGTTCAAAGACAACACTTGCAGTTCGACAGACTATTTAGCTGTATACCATGATTACTCACTTCACCCGGTACCAACAGACCAGCGACTATATAGTTAAAATATTCGACTTCCAACCACTGGATAATAGGTTCTTCATCAAGTTCATCCAAACCAGCTTGTGCAACAAGTGATTATCACTAGTCCTCACGTATCCAATCTGAATCGAATATATGTATGTTAGCATGTATTTTGTCGATTTTCTAAACTTAGCTTGAATACATTTGCTGCATGTATATGAAGTCAGTCTTAACACTAGAGGTTTACCTCAATTCTTATCAATATTCTTTTTAAAATAGACTAAAATCGTTTAGGTTAAAAGGTTATAATGTAGTCCAGTTAAACCATTGAGGATTGACTATCTCATTACTCCATGGTTCACAAGGTAATACAAGTACTGATAAAAACTTGTTAGTTTAATGGAACGAGTTCGTTGATCCCACTAAATATTTTCTTTAGACACGATCAGTTATTTGCATCAATATAAGATTCATGTTTTAGTATGCAATTAATCAAGGTGTAGGTTCCATAAAAAACACTTAGTTTCCAACTCACATTTCATTAGGCTAGATGAATCGTCGTAACCAGTTCGTTTTTGCATACTCGCATAAATAACTTACATTTCATCTTAATTACCACAGTAAGCTTATTTTGTGAACATGATTTAGATGTTACATCACAAAGTAACCGAGTTGTAATATGTAATTTACGGAGCTTGTTCAATAAATCAAATTTTCTAGATAAATGATTTATTAGTAAAGGCTTGCAGCATTTAGTGCCGTCACGTCTGCATGGGTTATTCTAGCTTCCGGACAGAATTATTTATTCGTCTTCTTGAATCACATTTTGACCTTGTCACTAATTCGCTTATCAATATTGTCTGTTTTTTATATAAGCGTATGTGTGTGCATTGCTTATCCTGCTCATCACATGTCTGTGACCTATTTGTATTTGACTAAACATTAAGTCATGCTTGATCCAGTTGGCCCACTCGCATTATCAGCTGTCCTTCACCTCGTCTCGTCTCGCTTCACTTCAATTCTTCGATTGTCTGTTCAGATCAATGAGTGCACAAAATATACGTATTCAAAATGCATTCTCATGTTTGACTTAGTTATATGTAAGAGGGTTTGGCGGCATGTATGTTTCCATAACAATCACCATACAATCTAATTAGAGTCAGATACAGGTCCATTAATATATATTAATGACGACTAATAAACACTAATTAGTGATGAAGAATTTTTGATAAAAAAAATGTTGCGACTTATTTGTAAGGTATTTTTTTAATCAGTTAAATATTTCCTGGCTTCAATATCAATGCTAATATAATGAATAAAAAAATGTATATGATTTGGTTTGGTGAAAACACTATGAACCATAAAACAAAAGGTGGTTACGAATTCGTTTAATAAATTTCAATCGATCCTATTCAGTTTAAACCAGAATTAAACTACTCATCAAAACAGTTTGTTTGAATAAATCAGTTACACTTTAATGTCACATCCTTAAGAACAATATTGAATTCAAGTCGGATCAGAAGGTTTACCAAATCATAAAACTGAGCACTGTGACAAATCTTTAGCCAACAGATTAAAACCTGGCTATGAACTCTGTCTGACTTCAAACTCACTGATAAAGTGATTTATCAAGATTATTTTTCTTAATGGTAGTTTTAAGACGCTAGATGAAATGAAGCAGTATTTCATCAATGCTTCTGACTCTTCTATTGATGTTTTCTTTGTTTTACTACAGGTTACTGTTATAACTTGTGGCATCATGTCCCATTAATACATAAAGTAATGATACCACCAATTAGAGAACAGTGATTTATCGACCGCACCATTGATGCATAAAACCCATATGAGCAATCTAGAATCATTTTAACACATAAACATTGGTACAATGAGGCATCAAATATGCATGCGCCACACAAATCGCATTCGATATGTATGAGGGCTGTGATACTGCCCGGGTGCCCAAACCAAAGCAGGTGGTTTTATTAGGGGGTCACACCTCGAGCCTTCGACCTAAGGTCTGATCCACAAGGCAGTGGAGCATCGTGAGGAGATGCAGTCTCATGGAAGCCAGTGACCAACGAATGGTTCATACGCCATTTGTTCCCACAGGATACTGGAGCCCATGTGCACCATTGGTTTGGAATCCGGTTAAAGCGCCAGACATTCTCTTTTCATCCTCTCATTTTCGTATCAACACCACTGCCACGAGAAGGCAGTGACAACACCAATCTCAACCTCCACGATATCAATCATGTATTTCAAACATACTGGATTTATATTCAAACCAAACAGATCACATCGTACTATAAATTAGAAATTAACATTTGTACAAGTTCTAGTCTGCGATTGTGTCTGTGATTGTGGGAGACTGTAATGAATAAAGTGGGCAAATCACAAGAATGGCAAATCGTGTGATAATAGTCTATGAGTTAAAATAAAGCTTACGATAAGAGGAACACGAATATGAATAGTTTAGTCCTGTAACAATTATACAGTAAAAATATGAGTATAGTATTAATGCAGAAATAGATTCGAACAGTTACCATTTATTACTCTCATCGGGATATAACAGTTACCATTAGACACCTACACTTTATTGATCTATACCTATTCTATTATTATTATTATTATTAGAAGCTTTATTCAACATTATATTTTTGGTACAACATAGAATTCTCAGCATAAAGTATTTCAACAAGTTTCCTTTTCTTATACCTTGATCGATTGTGACGATAAATTTTGAATGATGACCAGTTAGATGTTAGAAGTTCGGTAATCCATATTTGATTACTGTTCATTTGTTTCAATGCATATTGCCAGCCACCATGATGTCGCTGATTGTACCTTTTTGTATCCCGTACAGCGAAAGGTTGTAAAGTTTTCATAAACGCGCCTGAATAGGTTGTGCGCACAATAGACATAGTGATGTGCTAAAACAAACAACAAAACAAATAACTTGATGAAATATCTAGATCGGAGGGACAGGTAGCCCAGATATTCAAGCAGGCCGCCGGTTGATTCTACTGTGTTAGAATATATTTTTTAAATATAATTTCACTTATGATTAATAAACTATTCACTGTAACATATTGAAATAATCAAACCGTTTTAATCAATCAAATTTATCGCCTAGTTTCAAAATAGTTTGTTGAAACTTAATTAATAAATGTATCACACTGTATTCATGTATCCATAGTAAATAATAGTCAATAAATTATTGCATGATATTAGCTATCATCTGATAATTTCTATTGTAGAGTTATACATATCTAGCAATTATTATTATTATTAAAAACTATTGAACATTAAATAATGAATGTTTTATAAATAAATTTTTTTTAAAAAAAAGAGGGAAATATTTGAAAATAGAATCACAATGACCTAAATCGTATATCGTGTGATATTTTAGTAAGCGCATACTGTTGTAGATTTTACAAACGAGTATGAAATATGTATACAATATTTCTATGTTTTTTTTATGTTACTTCTTCAGTTGATCTTAAGTTATAATGAAAAACTAACTTTAAATTGAATAAATCTCTATAATCTACACACATAAATATCTATTATGTTTATGTGTCTTAATGAATAAATGTTTAGTGTTACTTATATTACAATAGTTGAGATCATAATTCAATTGAAACTAGACCACCATGGAAAACCTGGAAGCACTGGACAGCCGTTTCGTCCTATTGTGGGACTCCTCAGCAGTGCGCATCCACGATTCCGCACTCCGCGAGATTCGATTCCAGGGCCTATCAGTTTCGCGCGCGAGCGCTTAACTAACTAGACCACTGAGCCGTCATTCAACGGTGTTAATGTTTAACTTGAACTAATCCACGAAGTTGCGCCACCGTATGTCATTGTCTGCAGTGAGCTGATATCTCACAACACACTTGGTTGA